ATACTATTCAGTAAGGAATCGTGTTGTCCGAATGCTCTGGTTCTATTTTTTGTAGTTTACTTACGTTTACACTAAACCTGCTTTCTGGAAAATTTAGTGTTGCGAAAAGTTATGTATTAGGTACACGAACGTTTTCGGTCATCTACTTATATGTGACACTTCTGGGCATTCTAAGAGCGAATATTACATATAACCAGACAATTAATTTAAAAAAGCAACGCTACTGCAAGGTGTGTAAAAAACATCCTAACGTCAATATGTGTTGTTAGATCATTATAATAAAACTTTTTTTTTTTGCAATTTGCTATACAACATAAATTATGAGTGATGCCAGTATGAATAAATTTTGTTGTAATATATTTTTTTTAATTATTAAGTATATGTAACACCCGCTTTAATAACACTATTATTTAATAATAGAGTCTACCAGTTGAAATACACTACATCCATTATACATATACATGTGTATTTATACATTGCATATTAAAATCTGATATGCTATTTTTTTTAATGAATTTTCAGGGATGATGTAGCGTATTAATTTGCCTTTAGTCCCTCGAGACATGGACAGGCTGAAACTGCTGTCCTTACTTATTTGGTTTAACAGTCATGGTGAGTTTTTTTTTATTTATCAACATTTATTTAAATTTATTTTTAAATATTTTCTAAATGTTTACTTAATGACCTATGTTTGTTGTAAGATATGAAAAACTTTAACCACGGCTTGCTCAGTTTTGTCCGCTGATCTTTATGTGCACTAGCTAGAGAACTGAACTTAGCTTTCAGATGAAACGTTTAAGTCGTTGATTGTGTGTGTAACAAAGCACGTAAATAACACGGCACACCCTCCTGAAGAGGGGATTGTTTCCTATGTCAACTGCCCAATTCACTACCTGGAAATACGTCTTGGGGCTTACACCAAGGAAACTATACGGTACCGTACAATACATTGTACACAATAAAGTAACACATAATCTGATATATTGTGATTCGGTCGTGGTTTATTACGACGACATCATTACTCTTATGTAACCATTATAAGAAGATATTTCCCTAAATAATATTTGTTACACAGGCTACGTATGGTGTTTGGATTGCCAAACAAATGTGGCACTCGTTGAAATAATGGAAAAGAGTAATTGTAATCGTCAGTGCGAATATCCACCGCAGCCTAAACATTGTAAATTTGAGTTCAATGTTACTTGGACCAACTCAATGGGATCGTCCTGTCTGGATTGCCCAACCACTTTGAAGCACTGCTACAAACACAATTGCATACCAATTGAAGGGTCTGTTAGACCTGTGATAGTTACCAATGACATATCACCAGGACCTAGTATACAGGTAGGAACGTACGTTACCACTATGAATATAATATCAAATGAAAATATAAAGAGGGGCCTATAAACATATCTACTTCTAATTTTAGACCCCTCAAATTAAAGACCACCTCCAATTAAAAACCACTTTTCATTCAGTGGTCCCAAATTAACAAATGTATTTTATCTTTATTTATCTTTATCTTTATTATTTTTTAATCAGACAAAAGGTGCTACATACCATGGAATTAATTTGAGGGAGACCTGTATTAATACTAAATAAATTTAGATCGATATTTAAAAATAAATGAAAACAGCATTGATGTGTTTAAAAACTGGGAAAAATGTTGTATTCATTGCGGTTGGTAGTAGTGGCAGATTGAAAAAAGGATAATATCAGTGTAGTTAATACGTTTCTTATCACTCAAAATAATTTTCTTTCAAGGTTTGCTATGGTGATACAATTCGAGTGAAGGTTCAAAATGATCTGCAAGATGCTGGTGGATTGTCGATCCACTGGCACGGTATACATCAAGTCAACACCAACTGGATGGACGGCGTGTCAATGGTTACTCAGTGCCCAATAGCACGCGCGTCATCATTCGTATACAAGTTCAAAGCCGATCCGCCTGGAACTCACTGGTGGCACTCACACACGGGCCTACACAGAGGAGATGGCATGTACGGCTCATTGATCGTCCGGCTACCAAAAGAATCAGAGTTTAACGGGAATAATTACGACTTTGATCTATCGAATCACGTTCTGCTCATAAACGATTGGACAAGTAATCTAGTATTAAATAATTTTGCTCAGTCCCTTGATCCCGGCAAACCGACTTCTCTACACACGCTTACAATCGTTGCAAACGGAAAAGGAAGAAACGTGGAATTTAATGACATAAATGAAAAGACTATATACACTCCGAGAGAGGTGTTTGAAGTGGAGAATGGGATGAGGTATCGTATGCGAGTAATAAACGCCGCGTTTGGTCAATGTAACATACTGGTCGCTGTGGAGTCACATCCATTGGTTATCATTGGCACAGATGGTTATGAGGTAAAACCAGTAGAGACACAATCCTTCACCATCGTCCCAGGTGAAAGGTAGGCCCTATGTGGTAGTGGTAGTGGTAGTGGTAGTGGTGGTGGTGGTGGTGGTGATGGTGGAGGTGTTAGTAGTTATGGCGATAGTGGTGGTGGTGGTGATGGTAATGTTGGTTGCAGTGGTGGGGTCGGTGGAGACGGGGCTATGAAGGGGACTGAGTTGGGGACGGGGGTTGGGGCTGCGATGAGTGTTGGTGCAGCATCAGCAACAGCAGCAGCACAATTGACCAGCACTTGCAGCACAATCATTAGCAGCACCAGCAGCGCAAGCACCTGTAGCATTAGCAGCACTAGCACTAGCCGCACCACCACCGGCATTATCAGCACCAACACTAGCAGCAGCAGTAGTAGCACCACCACCAGCAGAGGCACCAGCATCATTAGCAGCACCAGCACTATCAGCAGCAGCATTAGCAGCACCAACACTAGCAGCAGCAGTAGTAGCACCACCACCAGTAGAGGTACCTGTATCATTAGCAGCACCAGCACTAACAGCAGCAGCATTACCAGCGCCAGTACCAGCATCATTAGCAGCACTAACAGCAGCACCACCAGCACTAGCAGCAGTAGCAGCACTAGCACTAGAAGCAGTGGCAGCACCACCACCAGCAGCAGTAGCAGCACTAGCAGTGGCGTAATAGCTCCGGCTGAGGTCTAAATGGCTAAAGCCACCGGGCCCCCATCCAATTCAAATATTTCTTTCACAAACAAATACCAATTAGGCCCTTTTCCAAGCCAAAGTCTTTCGAGTGATTGGGGAATTTTTATTATCATCATTATCGCCAGTCTATGTTTTGTTGAAATACATGTCAAATATATATATATATATTGATTTAAATTGGCTCGTTTTGTTGAAGGCCTTAATATATTTATTAGTGTTATCTTTTTGGAGTAAAATCACAATACATAAACTTAGAATTCGAATGTGTAAAAATGTATTTAAAAACGTCACAGAAAGCTAAAAACGAAGGAGCGACCGGGAAGTTGGGGGAAGGGGGAGGGGTCGGGGGGTGTGGGTGGGCAGTCCACAACCGTAGTAGTACCAGTAGTGTCTCAGCAAACACAAAAACTTATTATACCAAATGCAAATGTGAGCATTGTGGTAAGACTACCGTATGTCAGAATGTTAATAAAACATGTTCATAGAAGGTTTTGTCCTTCTCTCAGGATAGATTTTGTGTTAACAGCCTCAAATACACCATCTTCTTACTGTATATTTCTTGATGGTTTTCCTACAAACCAATGTGGAAGCAGCGGGACGGCCATCTTGAAATATAAAGGTGCCAGCCACGAAGAACCTGACTGTTATAGAAAACCAACTGGTGCTGCGGTTTTCTCAACTATCCATTTTGATAATACGATTTCCATTGGCTCCGAAGAATACTATTCTCTTCGTGACACACACTCTCTTGGTAGGTTATTTTAATTACTTTTATCAAAGAGTATAAAACTGCAAGAGGTCCGACTGCCCTTAATTTTTATACAAGCAATGGAACATTAAAAAATTACTCCCACGAAGGGGCGTGTCCTTCATAAGAACGTAAAAGTCGTTCGTATCGAACGCGTGCTGCGTTTCGAATTCCATCATACATTCTAGACACGCAGCACGCGTTCAATATGAACGCACTTTACGTTCTTTTAAGGGCCACGCCCCTTTTAGGTAGTACTTTTTGAAATAGGATTGCGTTCCAAAGAATCCCCGGCAGTCGGACCTCTTGCAGTTTTATTCTCTTTGCTTTTATATATAATGAACCTTTCCCGCTAAGCACCACTCCTTGGATATTGTTCCTAAGGTCCTAGTAAAATACATACGCAAGCACGTGCGTGCGTGGGACAGCATGCGTGTTTGAGAGACGTGCTAATATTCGTGGACCTGTTCTTATTCATCAGTTCTGAAGTTGGGTTGACACTCCAGAAAGGTCTATTGTTATCTAACTTATATATTGAGCTTGATTGGCTTATCTAGGATAAGACCCTCAGCACTTGAGTAAAACAGTAAAATACCCCAATTGGGCGGTAAAACAAATTTTGCCAATTGTGTTCCAAACAATTGGTTTATCAGAAAAAAAAAAAGATTGTCGGGTTTTAAAATATTTGTTTCGTTAGGATGAGATCATCTGATGTTTAAGCATATTTTGTTAGTCTATGGCCTCGGTTGTAAAATGATGGATGATCCGGGAAAGACGTTTATAAGCCATTGGCCACGTGCAGGTTATACAACATAGTAAAACGTAGATCTTATTTATTTTATTATAATAAAAGAGAAAGAAATTACAATTACATATATAATACATTCTAATGCAATCATTTAGCGCCATTATTTTAATCAATACGACAACGTTGCCATTGTCACTATCATCAATATATAATCCTATATAAAACTAGTTCCATTTAAATTATAAAATAGTCAAATCAAAATCGATATTTCACCAATGATTTAAAGTAGATTATAATACATAAAGATCTGGGTTATGATGTTCCTTCAGATTTTTTTTAAAGGTGCTCCAGTCACACAAAGAGTAATTTTTAATATAAATTAACAGCTGCGCCATTCCATATTCTCATAAACGTGGCTGGCGTTAAATACAATGCTTAATCTGTGTTAATGTCTTTACTTCAAAGTGCCAGTAGATCCTGATTTATACAACGTTGATGAGCAATACTATATCACTTTGAACTCTCTTGTGTCAGCAATACGTAAGGAAAATGGTCAGCTCATCCAAATTTCTGGAATGGTACTCCAGATGGACAATGTGGAATTTAAGTTCCCGCCGCATCCTTTGGTAAACCAGGACATTAGTAACATCGATATTTGTCACGTTAACCAGGAGAAATATTATCAGTCGTGCAATGCCAGTAGTTGCTATTGTACCAACCTTATGAAAATAGAACTTGGCAAGGTGAGATTATTTATCATCATTATCATCCATCATCATTAGCATGATCGTGATCATGATCATGATCATCATTATCATTATCATCATCATAATAATAATAATAATAATAATAATAATCATCATCATCATCACCACCACCATCATGATCCTCATCATCATCAACAGCATAAAATAATGAAAAATGTTTCAGATAAAATTATTGAATAACAGTACACTTCATTAAAAACACTTCAATTACGCACTTTGATTTAAATATATAATTTTGTCAGATAAATTCTGAAAAAATATGTCATTAATATCGTTAAAATTGCCAACGAAAAGGTTAAAGTTTAGTGTATGAGAAAAGCAGTGGAGAAAAAGAAAGGTAGAGATTTGTTGTCTCTGAATTGTTGGAAACCCGACAGAACTATAACATGTTAGATATACATTACTCATCATGATATATACCGTGTATATATATATATCATGTAAGCCAAAACTGATTGCTAGAGAATTAAAAACAATAGTATCTAAATTTATTATCAGTTAATAATATCTAAACTTATTATCAGGTTGTAGAGTTTGTTGTCATCAACAATGTGAATATCGTTCCACATCCGATGCATTTGCATGGTCACTCATTTCGAGTCCTAGGTCAGCAAAATCTCAATGACACACTAGACCGGGAAAACATAATTGAGCTTGACAAAAGAGGTAATATTTTTAAATTTAATAATGTAAAAAAATAACGGCTACTTATATATTATTTAAATATATACACTCATCATGATTTACTATTTATTTACTATTCATTATTGTTATAATTATCAATTTCTAGGAAAGCTACAGAGAATAAACATAGAGGAAACAGTCGTTAAAGACACGGTGAATGTTCCACAATACGGTTATACCATTATCAGATGGAAGGCTCAAAATCCTGGCTTTTGGTTCTTCCATTGTCACGTAGACTACCACTCTGAAGTAAATATCTTAGTTTACACAACATACAAACAGTACTTCCACAAAACTGAGAGAGCTACATTGTAAAATATGATATAAGCTTACGACGTTATGTAATATAATATACGGTATAATTATATGATTAATATACATATTATATTGACTTTTATTACAGTACAACATTTTACAGTACAAAGCTGATCGTGTAATAATAATATTAAATAATTATAATGATGGTGATAATGGTAATAATGATGATGATGAGGACGACGACAACGATATCGACAATGATGGTGATAGCGGCGACGATGATTACGTTGATGATGATGATGATGACGCTGATGATGGGCTAAAAATAATAACATTGTGGATTGGTGAATTGGTGGATGAACGATGGTTAGATGGAGTGATAGATGAATAAATGAAGGAAGGACGGAATGACTAAACGAGCAAGTAACGTAGTAATTGGAAGAATGAGTAAAGGAATGAATAAAATGAAATAAAGACTGCATAAATGTTACTATCTTGTTTCCCTTTTTTCATAGTCCGGCATGACAATGATAATTCAGGTTGGAGATCAAGATGAGATGCCACAACCTCATGCCGACTTCCCAACCTGCGGGCCATGGTCTCCTGATTAATTTCCAGAAGTGCGGTATCATCAGGATCTGAGTGAACACAATGCATACACAATTTCATTATAAATAACAATAATAATAATAATAATAATAATAATAATAATAATAATAATAATAATAATTATAATAATAATATTTTGGCATTTATATAGCGCTCTTTACCGGACTCTCACGGCACTTTGGATCGTAACGAGTGGAGTTAGCTCCAGAAAATAGGTGAAAATGCATAAAAGCCTTTAGGGACAGATGTTAAGTTTGTTCTTGGTTAATATAGTATGAAAGAATCAAGTTCAGAACGAAGGCCGGCACGTGAAGGAGTATAAACAGTTATAAGTTCTTGAAGGTAAGATGGAGAAGTACTATGAGACACTTTTAAGTCAAAAGTTCGGATCTTGAAAGTGATGCGTTTACGAACTGGTAACAAGTGCTGAATAAGTTGGAGCCGTTTTATTTCTTATCAAATTAACCTTGAAGTAGAGAATTGCAGTAATCGAGACGGGACTGTACCAACAGCGAACAGCATTATGACAAATTCGTCTATGCTCTTTCTGATTTGGGAGATATTTCTGATGTTGTAATTGAGTGATTTACGGTACATAATAATGACATTGTTCACTTACCACTAAAGAAAACCCCGAGGTTTCCTATGGACTGAGATTGTTTAATGTTGGATTTATCATTGTGAGAGATATCTATTTATTTGGTTGCGATACGCCATGACAGCGTATAGGTATAAAATGTTCTGGCTTACAGCCAATCATAGAACTCAGATGTAATTGCAAAATCATGTACATTTATTTTATCTGAGATTGCAGTATAATTAGTTATAGGTCCGGTTCGTTGTCAATAGAGCTTTAAATAAATAATGAATGTATATAGTTTACTTAGTAGGTGAATGGTTTACAGTAATATGCAATATACTGGTATATTTATACATCAATGCATTTACTAATTTGTGATATTCTGTTTTGTTAAATCAGAAAAGAGCAGGGCCAAAATCATGTATAAACATTGAACGACAAAGAATGACGTAATTCAATTTCCACTAATTTAGACCTACAAACGTTTTTCATTCAACTCTTCAAAAAATCATATTTCAAAGTAGAGTTAGGTTATTTGAGGTTACAAAAAGGTATAAGAAAGCAAATATTAATTATACTGCAGAATCTTGAATTTTCATTAAAAATAAAATGTTAAATAATATATAATAATGTAAAGTCTTTTTAAAATATAAGCATTGCTTTCTCGCTGCACGTGACCTATAATGTCGAACATTGGGACCAGTCTTAAAGAACACAGAAATAAAATTCAAATAAGATTTGATATAATACGTAACGTCTCTTGGTATGTTTTTTATTTTTATTAAGCTTTGTCTACACTATGAAATTTGATGTGACAAAAATGTGATTTGCTCATATATGGGTACGATGAAGTCATATCATATATTATCAAATTGTATCAAAAAATGTTGAACGTGTTCAACTCTATGTTCCATCACATTTTATGTGACGCTTTTTCGATGAAATTTGATAGCTAACAGTCTCAAGTAATGTATTACTTATTTTCTCATTGAATAGACAATAAGCTATATTCATATATTTCATCAGTACAGTACATAATATACAAATGAATTATGGCTGACTCGGATTGCCCCAAAAGCAACACGTCATATCGGCGCTGGTTCGAACTGCAGTCTCGTCTGGGTCGGTGGTAGAACAAGTCTTCTCGAATAAGGAGTATAAAAAGTAGGCCCATTGTACATAGGCCTAATACACGGTGTACAGGTACAGAAAACCATTGTGGTGGACTACAAGAGTTGTACCGGCTGCGCAGGCACAAAGGGACCCTTAAGCCCGAAGAAATTCACTGGACGAGCTACTAGTCCACAAATCAGGCGCCATGAGTATCTTGTCATTTTAGTTTATTTGTACTTGGCTAAAAAGCGCATTGAGACCGTTTTTACTGTGGAAGGTGATAAAAATGCTTGACTATCATCATACCGTCCGCTGACCATTATTTGATGGATACCGGCGCTCTACACATCTACACTATGATCATTGTTATTATATACGTTGCTGTCATGAGACTTTCCTTGCAAATGATACCAGGGTAGGGGACTATAACATTTTATTAACTAATAATTTAGTAAATATATTCGAATTAAACTTAAATACGAATATTTTTGCAAATATATTCATATTTAAGTATAAATCGAACATAATGTGTTGATTAGAAATAGAATTCGTTAAAATTGGAGTGAATCCGAATCTGCAGTCAACTTAAGACATAGCCATGAGCCGTATGCTGATTGGTTAATCAGGTGACCAGGATCCGCATGTGGGATAGTTGTCTGGTGGTCTTGGAATCTCTTCATCATCACCAATTTGAATAACCATTGTCATGCCGAACTAGAAAACAAAGTATATTGAACAAATTATTGATTTTTGTCTTGACTATATCAACAATTTCGCACTTCGGTCGAGATCTTATTGCTGCTGTCGGAAGAGGAGAGCCCCTTTCGTCGGCCATCCATAGGCTTGTGTTGCACCCACAGATGTGAAAACGCCCACAATGTAATAATAACCAGAAATGTAACAACACAGCGCCCAAAAATGTAATAATGCCCAAAAATGTTACAACCAGCGCCAACAAATGTTTAACAAACTGCGCCCAGAAATTTTTTTTTTCTATATTGTGAGTGCACTGTCATTTATATTATATATATTTTTTTCTGCTCGGGCACCTCACTTAGGGTGGCCATCTCATCGAGCTTTGCTCTTATTGGGCATTCCCTACCGTTTGATTTTACTGTATTCAATTTATAATATGTATCTCGATGATTTTTTTTTTCTCTTTAAACGGCGAATAAATTTGAACTTGAACTTTGAACTTGTAATACCGATCATCGCCCACAAATGTGATAACGCCCACAAATGTAACAACAAAACATGACCTCTTCGCTCAAAAATGTAATAATTTTCATTGAATTTCGAATGTAGCAGCTAAGACCCACAGAAAATTGGCCAAACCGTACACTTTGTGACAGAAGCAAAATTGCTGCAAGATGGTTTGGAGTTTATCTATATAAATGCTTATTTATATACTGATTATGAATATAGAATGTATGATTATTACCTCTGAGTGATAATTAACGTGACAATGGAAGAACCAGTATCCTGGATTTTCAGCTTTCCATCTGATAATTGCATAACCGTATTGAGGCACATTTACCGTGTCTTTCACAACGGCTTTATCCAGATCAATTCGTTTGAGTTCTCCTACGTAAAATGTAGTCAAGTATACAGTGATAGCCTACATTTTTTTAATATTGTTTGTCATCATCAACGTCATCAGTAATAAAATATAATTTATATTATAATCATCATCCTCATTATCATAATGTTATCATTATCATCATCACTATCACTATTTTATATTATAATGATTTTGTTTTATTTATTATTGAAATATGTTTTCTTATAAGTAGTGTAGCAGTAGCAGCAGTAGTGGTAGTAGTGGCGGTGGTGGTGGTTGTAGTGTTGGTGTTGTTAGTGGTAGTGGTAGCAGCAGCAACAGCTTAGCAGTATAGTCGTCAGCTGAATGAGAAAAATTAGTAGATAATACAACAGTTATATATTACCATCACATTTACCTTGGTCATCAAGTCTCTCGAGTTTCTGGATAGAGATAGCTCCTATAGACTCCTGAGCTAGAACACGGAATGATTGTCCATGTAGGTGCATAGGATGAGGTACTAAATTGACATTATTCAGAAGTACTAACTCAATCACCTGCGGTGAAAACAACAGAGAAATTAGTTTAAGAGCCGATGTGCTTCACATATGGCCAATTTACGTAAGCCTACACATATCCTCTATTCAAGTAGTAGCAGCAGTAGTAGCAGCAGCAGCAGTAATATCAGTAACAGTAGCAGGAGCAGTAGCAGTAGTTCCTGCAAAAACCGTCATAAACGCAACACAGTATTTTAAAGTAAAGCTAATGGTGCAGATAATCTTGACTATTTTATTTACTTTGATTTACCTTGATCTTGAAGCTTAAGCATTTTATTCGTATTTCTATATTTTTGCTATTTTGTCTTTCCACCTGAAACTAGCATGTAAAAAGCAATACTAAATTATTTGTTTTTGCTGACCTGTCCAAGCTGAACCTTCAAGACGTTGGTGCATTGACAAAGTTGTGAAATACAACTTTCGTATGCTGACCTATTTTGAGTTGGATGACACGTTTCAATAAAACTTGCTTTTGCAGTCAATAAAGGCGTTTCGGGAAATTTAAATTCAGCACCATCCATCTGAAGTACTAATGCTACTATTCCGGTTTCATCATGTGGCTGTTTGTGTAGTTTTTGCGCATACTCGTCAATTACTATGTAGTATTTTTCATCCACGTTATATAGTTCTGAAGGGACAGGCTCTATAAACAAAATAGTACCATCAAGTCATTTAAATATATTTTGTCACTGATGGGTACAATCTTCAATTCACAAATGACTCATATTTTAATGTGTCCCGTTTGTATGGTGATTTTGAAATCAATTGTGTGATGTGGAATACGGTATAGGATTTATATAGCAACCATATTGGAATTCAGTATATCCACCTAAGACCACCGTTGATTATATGTTCATAGTTCACATTGACCGTAACACACTATCATATAGCACTAATTAAACCAGTATTGCTTGCTAATTATAAGGCGAAATGTTGTGATTTTATAAAAAAAATTTCACAGTAAGGTCACGGGGTCCATTCGAAATTTAAATAGCTGTCATTATATCATGACCAAAAGGTAAGGGTAACAATTAATTTATTGACAAGAGGATAGCATAGACGTTTGCGCCAGATCGGGTTATTAGTGAGCTTTTGAAGTAAGGGTAGCGTCTTCTTTCTGTTACGAAAATTCTCAATTTGAATACATTTTAGTAAAGTAAGGGTATTAAAACAAATATTCGCTAGTCATAAAGCTCGCTATTCACTCACTAGTCATAAGTTTATAAAAAAAAAAAGGTTGAAGGTTCTCTAGTCATAATCAATAAAACGGTTTCGATAGTCATAATGTAAACACATGACCCCCATTCATAAAGTTGGCTCTAGTCATAAAGTAGGTTAATAGAAAAAAAAAAGAGAGAAAAAGCATATTACCTAGTGCAAAGGTATCACTTAAGGAAACGTATTGAATTCCATCTAAGACTCTTTCGACATGACTGTCTTTCAGTGTTGAGAAGGTACGATTTAGCGATTTATTATCATATGTGCATTGAGTTTCAATATTTGGTGCTTGTTTGTATCTCAATATCGCTTCTCCACTACTGTTACATTCGCTTTCTGGATATCCAAGGAGAGATATGCAATACGTTGAAGGCATTGCATTGGCGGTTAAAACGAAATCCAACCTAGAGAAAGTAAAATACTTATCTTTATACAAGAGCATCCGAACATCATCAATATAATACGAGATTTTCTATCAACAATTATACTTCTAGTACGACGTGCAAATCATCAAAATTATGCTTTCTGATGACCAAATAAGCACATATTCAATAGTCTTAAATGAAACCTTAAGAAATCTTTTTTCAATATTTTTTTCCCTTTCATCACCATTTGTGTTACAAATATAATTTGACTGGTAATGTACTTTATTTTTCATAAAAAGGTATTTCCATCCGGATTGGAATTATTTTATTTTTACATTTTACACATGTATATACAGTTAAGCTTGCCTGAGTCGACTTTGCCTAACTCGAATAATTTCTAAGTCGAACTTATTTTACAAGCCAAATTATTGTGTTATCCATTAATTAACAATCTGTAAGTCGAACAATTTTTTAATGGTATATTTGATTCGACTTAGGCAGAGTTCAAAAAAACAAATTCTACAATGGTACAGGTAATTTTTTTTTTTTTTTATAAAAGGTGACTACGTCCTAAAGCTCTGGGAGTTGTTCTTGCAGAACTTACTGTTGCCTCCTTCCATTGAATTTATTTGTTTCGATTATATTATGCTCTTTTACTGCATTTGTATGGAAAATAAAGAATTCAATATTTGATTTGATTTGATGCATTTCAAATAGTTTTTCAAATAGCGGCAAAATATTTTAGTCTTGTGTTAGTTATTGTATTCTGAATCGGATCGTTTTTACAATCGATTTTTTTTTGCAGTCCATAGTTATGCTATTTTTAAAAGATTGTATCGTATAGGCCTACCTATAAATTATGTGTTAATGTACTGTAGCACAATAAAGTATACAAACTTTGAGGATTTAGACCTTTTGGGGGATCGTTCTTTAGAAGCGTGGTATAATATACAGGCCTATAATAATTTTTCAAAATAATTTTTTTTTCGTACTTACCTTTCACCTGGACTAATCACAAACGAATCTACTTGTTTTACCGTCTTAAATTCATGTCCGTCAGAACCAATAATATTTAATTTGTGAGATTGAAAAGCAACATGCAGATTACATTCGCCAAATGCTGTATTGATCATGCGCATTCGATATCGCTTTCCTTTCTCCACTTCAAATTCCGCCCGAGGTGTATAATATACAGTATCATTTGCGTCAGTAAATTCAACGTTCCTTCCCATTCCGTTTACCAGTAAAGAAAGAGTGTGTGAATTTGGTGTTCTGGTATGATCCACTCCTAAAGCAAAATTTTCCATTATCATATTACTTGTCCAATCATTTACTATCATCACATGTTCCGAGAGATCGAAGTCGTATTCGCCACCGTTGACTTCGGTTTCTTTAGGCGCCCTGACAATTAATGATCCGTACATTCCGTCACCTCTTTGTATACCTGAATGGGAGTGCCACCAATGGGTACCTGGTGGGTCGGCTATGAATTTGTATACGAATGATGTCCCACGAGCTATAGGGCACTGAGTTATCATGGAGACACCATCCATGATATTTGTCCTGTTTTGGTTCATACCATGCCAGTGTATTGATAATCCGCCGTCGTCCTGTAACTTGTTAATCACTTTAACACGAATTGTGTCCCCTTCACAGACCTGTTCGAAAACAATACACGTTCATAAAAAGTTTTATAGATGATCCGATTGTTTGACAAATATTCATCAAGAAACGAAATCTCTGAAAGTGTCTATAGAAAATATTTAAATGAAAACCGCTTATTAGATTGTTATCCCTACGGTAACAGTAGGCCCGTATACCTACAACTGGTTGTCGTGACTTTTGTACTCTGATGATTATGTAGCTACTCCGATTTCTGAGTATCTGTGCACACTGAAAAAAACTCTGTGACGAACACAGATCTAGCTTTTCGTTTTCAGCACTCTTCAATTTTCCTTAAATACGGCTGCTCTCTCTTGGATTCAGAAATGTTGGAAGGTTCCGATACATTATTTCAAATTGTTAAAATGTGTTTGCGGTTATTTTTAACCTTTATACTATTTACTAATATTGACGAACATTATATTGATTGACATTCTACCCGCTTACAAAAACATTTTTTTCTTACTTCTATGCTAGGACCGGGGGACATCTTGTTGATCGTTACGACGGGCCTACATGTACCATCAACTGACATGCATCGATCTCGTAAACAGTCTTCTTGAATCCAAGGACAGTCAAAACAGTATGCTGACATAGTGTAGGTCCAGGAGGCTGTAAACTGGTATTCACACACTGTAGGCTTGGGGGGATATTCGCATGTGCGTTCGCATTCGTGTTTGACAGTCTCCCTAATAGTGTTTTTCTCGGATTTTTTACACTCCAGAGATAAAGCGAAATCTACAGTGATGGAAATAATTTTCGAAATAATACTTACAGATTGTAAATATTGTACTATCTCGGCCAATATCATTCGAATTCATGAGTTCGTGATCAAAATGAATCCAATTTTGAGAATTATGCAACTAAGCCCTGCACACACTATCAATTTTATTTGACAAAAAACTGTTGTATGCCCATATATAGTCATGATGTGCCTATATATAGTCATGATGTGCCCATATATAGTCATGATGTGCGTATATATAGCCATGATGTGCCCATAATTATATACGCTTGGTTTATACAGTAGTTTAGGTGATTTATTGCCGGTTAATACATCCATGATACAGATTAATGTTACAGTGGCCCTACATATTGTTTTGAAAAGAAGCCCCCTCCCCCTCTTTACTTTGCAAAAGTGGCCTCGAAAAGAAGCCCATCTCGAAAAGAAGCCCATTCAAAGTTAGGGGGGAAAATGGCTTCTATTCGAGGTTTTACGGAATAATACTTAGACATGTCTCATGTTTTTGTCAATTTGAATTTGATAGTCTGGACAGGACTTTAGAGGCCTAATTAGTTAAATAAATGCACTGCATCCCAATAAAATTGGGGAAAACATCAACAATTCATTTGTAATTCTGGATGGCTGATTTAAATGGAATAGGTCATTAACTTCCAACAAGAAACATACTTTTTACACAAAAATCTTTAAATTTATTTCCAGCCAATTTAAGATTCTATGCAAAAGAATACAGGAATACAGTAGTATTATTAACTACTGGGGTTATTTGATGGGTGTTTTTCTTTTCGCATACAAATTCTAAATTGTAAATTAATAACTTGCTTAAATATGAACATTATGCAATTCATATATTGAATTGAATTTTTCATGTTTAGCTTATGACAGACAATATATCTTAATTACTTTATATCTTTGATATTTAATTAAAACAATAATTAATTATTTTTGTTGTAATAGTTCAGTAATTTGTCAGTAATATATCGGTAACTTACCAATTAATAGAAGTACCAAACAATTATATGATATCCTGGAAACTGACATTATCCTCATATTATAATAAGAACGTCAGTAAATGTTCCATAAAAAAGTATATTCAGCGCCCTTTCAATCCACCAAAATCTAAATTTGAAATATAAACTGATAAATTATTTTTTTATAAGGCAGAGGATTACCTGCAAATGTTTTTTATGTTAGGGCCTATCGTTTTCCAAATGAAAAATTGAAACAAAATATATTTTCACAACCAGATTGTATGAAATTGATATCCACGTCTTTATCAAAATAAGTAAACATGCAAATAAAAGCCTATTGACAAAGAAAATTCAATATTGAAAGTGAGCATCGTTTTGTCATGCCATATGAACTGCATATTTGTGTATATGTCCCGTCGGGGGGAAAAACACTATGTCATGATCTGGCAGTTAAAGATGGCAGAAAGGGTAAATCCGGTGGAGGTGCATTATGGATCATGTGTCATCTAAATATCTTATTACTGTACAAAAGTCATAAAAAATACAATACCACACATTTCCTTATAACCAAATCCCATATGGATACTTTATTAGTAAACATAGTACAGTAAGCAGGTATGGGGCATAGACACACGCTCCCGCTGGGAGCCTATTTTGCATAGTGTGTGTATGTTTAAAGCATTGTTATCAGTGTCATTGTGATAAGTTATTCTGGAAGTATCAAACTATGCGTAATATACAGTAGATAAATTAATAGTCATTTTCATGGAGGGAAAGTTAATGCCGTTAACCAGCGGCCTCATCACCATGTATTATATAATTATTTTACAAGGAGAAATATGTAATACATATATATATATATATATATAATGTATAATCAAATAATAATAATTATTATTATATACATACATATATAT